GTGTGTGTGTGTGTGTGTGTGTGTGTGTGTGTGTGTGTGTGTGTGTGTGTTTCCTGGAAAGAGGAGGAAAGCAAGGGAGTTAATCTTCCTTCAGGAAAACATGAGCAGCTGTGAACATTCAAATAAGTTCATCGTATTAGCTGATTGCCACCTTAGGAAATTCAAAAAAGGCTCTCAGTGCAATGAGATTTAGTCTCTGCAAATCTGTATGGCTATGCTGTGGGAGTTATGATAGGGTATGTGGTGGGGTGGGGAATAAACTGGGCTCTTTACTCAAACCCTTTGGTTTGTTCAGTGTATAAACTGCCCTTTGCTCCTCAAGCCTGCTCCTCCCCTGCCACATACACAATAGTGAGAGAGGAAAGCTACCCCATTGTCTTGAAAACGGCAACCATGTAAAAATGGGAATCTCCCGCTCTCCTCATCTATTATCTATTTGCTGTCTAATTTCTCATCCTCTCTCTTATGTCAGGACAGAAACATAACAAGGCAAATAACGAATCAGAGTAAAGAGACAGCAGGCTAGAGGTAGGACTTAGGCAGGCCCAGAGAAGGCAAATGAGAATCAGGAGGTGACAAGGCCAGTGGTAAGGGGGGAGGGTGGGGCATAGGAAAGAGATGGTAGAGGGAGATCTGATGGGATGGATACTGTCTTGAAGTTTTGAAAATTAAGCACTGTGTTTATTTGAGATTAACTTTTTCTCTAATATAAAATAGGAAGATGGAAGTAAAGGAATTATGACAATGAGACCTTCCATAAATAAATTTTACCGTTGTGCAAAGGACAGCCCCGCTAATAGCTGTTAGAATTTTTGGTTATTTGAAAGAGAAAAAAAAAAATATATATATATATATATTTATTTCGAGACAGAGTTTTGCTGTGTTGCAAAGGCTAGAGTGCAGTGGCATGATCCCAGCCCACTGTAACCGCCACCTTCCAGGTTCAAGCGATTCTCCTGTCTCAGCCTCCCGAGTAGCTAGAATTATAGGTGCCTGCCACCACACTTGGCTAATGTTTGTATTTTTTTTGGAGAGATGGGATTTCACCCTGTTGGCCAGGCTGGTCTTGAGCTCCTGACCTCAAGTGATCTGCCCATCTTGGCCTCTCAAAGTGCTGGGATTACAGGCCTGAGCCACCACACCTGGTGTTTTTAGATTTCAAACAATAAAACCTCTGTACTAGAATATTGTTTATTCACAAGTCTTGTTTTAGTCTTAGAACATGCTGTTGGTTTCTAAATTGTAAACATTGGGCTAGCTCATCGGTGTTCTGAGATGGGGCACGGAGGAGCTGTGGTACCCTTGTCTAAAAAGAGAAGGCCAGGTGACATGAACCAATGCTGCACAGGGAGCAGGGAGCATGGTGGTTGTGCTCCGTAAAGCCCATCTCATTAGGGAAGCCAGCATTCACCAGTATGCACCTGTGCAGCCTCACCATGGTTAAAGGGTTGCTACACTAATGTAGTGGTGAGCAAATAGGCGCTGTTTGAAGTTCCCTGGGCATTCCTCCCATAGCCCAGCTTCCCAGATCCTCCTGACCTTCCTTGGGCTTGCACTGCAGGGGGTACTTCCAGGCAGTGTCTGAGTCTTACATGGGCAGAGATTGGATGGTGCACAGTCATGACCTCTGTTAAATATTTTGACTATTACCACCGCTCTCAGCTTTAAAGATGTATGATTCTTTGTTGACTTCTTCCATTTGTGGATTCATAAGCTTGTGTGATAGCTCCTTACTCTGTTTCTTTGTTTCCTCCTCTTTTTTTTTTTTTTTTTTTCTTTTGTGATGGAGTCTCACTCTCTTTCCCAGGTTGGAGTACAGTGGTGTGATCTCAGCTCACTGCAACCTCCGCCTCCCAGGTTCAAGCAGTTTTTCTGCCTCAGCCCCCCAAGCTGGGACTATAGGCATGTGCTGCCATGCCTGGCTATTTTTTTATTTTTATTTTTTGAGACCGAGTTTCACTCTTTTTGCCCAGGCTGGAGTGCAATAGCAAGATCTTGGCTAACCGCAACCTCTGCCTCCTAGGTTCAAGCCATTCTCCTGCCTCAGCCTCCTGAGTAGCTGGGATGCAGGTATGCGCCCACCATGCCTGGCTAATTTTGTATTTTTAGCAGGGACGGGATTTCTTCATGTTGGTCAGGCTGGTCTTGAACTTCCGACCTTAGGTGATCTGCCCACCTTGGCTCCCAAAGTGCTGAGATTACAGGCGTGAGCTGCTGCACGGAGCCAGTTTTTGTATTTTTAGTAGAGACAGGGTTTCACCATGTTAGGCAGGCTGGTTTCGAACTCCTCACATCAGGTAATCCACCCGCTTTGGCCTCCCAAAGTGCTGGGATTAAGGTGTGAATCATCCAACCATGCTTCCTCTTCCTTTTTTGTTTTTTCCTGCCTTTAGACTACCGATCGATAGCACTTTTATCAGAAATTGAATAAAAGGGTATACAGCCAATACTGGATTTCAGCACAGCCTAGAATAGTCTGTCACTTCTAATCCATGCACTTAAAGTTTATCTAGGCTGCAAAACTTTAGGTACACTTGATTCAGGAGCCCTGACATCATATTTCTTTGGCATCTCTGAATATAGCTTAATAGGTGTCTGTAACATCGTTGATCTTTATCCTCTTTACCCTTATATTCTCATGTTTTCCAAAGGCTCTGAAGGAACATATTTCATTTTTCTTTCTTACAATACATATACAACAGTGTCTTACACTTATAAGTGCTCTGTCAATGCCTAATTAATGTCTGTATTTTCTTGTCATGTTCATTTCCATTTATCACATATAATTGAGAATTTATTGTAAAAACACTTTTTCTTGCACATCTCCAAGCTTCTCTAATGTTCTTGTAGAATTAAAGTTGTTACTAGGGGATTATTTTAGAGGCTAATTCTTAGTAAACTGTACATTAGGACACCTTGACTTTTATTCCTGGCATTGTTAAGAAAGGAATAAAGTGATTCTAAAAGTTGTTTCTGAAATATAAGCTTGTTTTTGAAGGTAACACAGTTTCTAAACAAGTAAGTTAAGTTTGTTTCATAACAGTGCATTGGAGTTAAATGAACCATGTAATTTCTGCTTATGAATGTTAGAACACAAACACCGAAGAAAATTTGACAGGCTTAATCTTTCAAAGAAGGAAAAAGGATATCCCTCAGTAGGTAGTGCAGTGCCTTAGGGAGGTTTTAACAATAGTATGTTAAATGCACACAGCAGAAGTGTGTGTGTGTGTGTGTGTGTGTGTGTGTGTGTGTGTGTGTGTGTGTGTGACAGCGTCTCGTTCTATCACCCAGGCTAGAGTGCAGTGGCACAATCTTAGCTCACTGCAGCCTCCACCTTCTGGGTTCCAGCAATTCTCCTATCTCAGCCTCCCAAGAAGCAGGGATTACAGGCATGAACCACTGCACCCAGAAATGTATATAGTATTTTTTATAAAAGCTTCTCCCGTCTTTCAATTTTCAAATATATTGATGTAATATTTTATTATTTAAGAAACTGTTTCTAGGCTGGGCACAGTGGCTCATGCCTGTAATCCCAGCGCTTTGGGAGGGTGGGCAGATCACTTGAGCTCAGGAGTTTGAGACCAACCTGGGCAACATGGTAAAACCCCACCTCTATAAAAGAAAATTTTTAATATAAAAGAATTAAAACTTCTTCTGTTTTTATACTTAGGCTTCTCTATTCTTGTTTTTCATTTTATTTTCCTCTCTACTATTTCTTTTTCTATTTTACTAATTTCTGATCTTTATACTTGCTCATTTGTTTTATACCTCCTCATTTGTTTGAATTTATGCCATTTTTATAGTTTTTTTGAGTGAATGCTTAGTTCATTAATTTTCAGTTTTTTATATTTTACATATATTTATTTTTCAAATAAATATGTGTATATATATTTTAATGCTGATCTTCTAGATACTGCTTTATCTGCTTACCTTTAATTTTGTTATATAGTATTTTTATTGTTGTTCAATTCTATTTTACAATTTTAATTATGATTTCTACTTGGACCATGAATAATTTATAAGTGAGATTATAGATTTTCAGAAGCATAGAATTTTTTGGTTTGTTTCCTTAAGTGGTGATTTTGCCATCCCTGCAGGAGTCTCATGTATTCCAGAACAATTTTTCTATTAATCCTCAGTTTGTTATTACATTACAAAGATACTATACATTCAGACCATACACACACATGTATTTGGGGTCTAAATCACTCTTTGGCATTTTGTTTTTTGTTGGAGAATTCTTCCTTACCCTGAGTTCTAGGCAAATAACAAGCTCTAGGCAAACGACATACTTACCTGGGCCATTGGTCATGTTTCTGCTTCCATTTTCATGGAGGTGGTAACTCATCCATGGCTCTAGCTGTACAAAAGGGTCTCATTTCCAGCTCTCTGCCTGGCACGATCCCAGGGCTGTGTCTCTGATCCCTTCATAGGCATTGAAGTCTTAGTCCCAGATATAAGAACTTATTTCTGGATCTGCTATTTTGCTACGATGCCTAGGTGCCACCTTGTATACTCATTGCTTAGCTTTGAGTATTTTATCTCTGATGCCAGGGTAATTTTTTTCCTTTGAACTCAGCTATGAATTTTAATTTATTGTCTTTTATTTCACATTTCTTGTTTATAGTGAAAGAGTATCGATCACTGATTAGTCTCCCAGCAACCTTTCCAAACAGAATGTTAACTGCTGTTTCAGTGTAAACATTAAGTGAATCTATAAATTCAGCGGAAAGCAAGTTCTTCCATATTTAAACATCATGTAATTACAGTGTTATCTTCTGTGTGTATGACTTCACCAACCTCTAGCAAAGAAGAATTCTACAACTTTTGTTGGAATATGTAATTTTATTTCTAACATTTCAAGAAGGACCTATTTATTCTTTCTGACAAAGTTAGCACCAGAGATAGAAAAACCAGCACCTAAAATCTCTGGCATACCACTCTTAGCATGGATTAAGTGGAAAGGTCAAGTTTAATGGTATTACCTCTTGACCGCATGTACAGACTGTGGACTTTCTGAGGCCCTGTTCTACCAGAAAAACAAGACCTCAGGGCAACACCCGCTATTGAAACATGGACATTTTTGATTGATTACATCACGTTATGCAGAGACATCCAAACTAAAGTTACTGTGACATTACATGAAATCATAGTATTAAGAGCTGTATTTTTCCAAGTGATTTTTACCAATTCTTCTTTCCCCAAGCTTTACTGAAGTGTAGTTGGCAAATAAAAATTACATATATTTAAGGTACACAACATGGTGTTTTGATGCAAGCATATGTTGTGAAATGATTACCGCAGTCAAGCTAATTAGCATATTTATCACCTCACATAGTTACTTTTTTTGGTGTGGTAAGAACATTTAAGATCTTCTGCCTTAGCAAACTTCAAGTATACAGTATAGTATTATTAATTATAGTCACCACGCTTACTGTAATGAATTAGATCTCTAGAGCTTATTCATCCTGCATAACTGAAACCATTTTATTTTTAATATGTGTGTGACCATAGACTTAAAGAGAACTTGGAATCATTGTTTTAGAAATTGCCTCAAATAAGACAAATATGAAGTAAGAGTTTAGGAGCTTTATGAGTTGGGTACTTTTAATGAGCTTGGTTCAGTTCAGTGCTTCAGCATAATCTTTCTGTAATCCTCAGCTTTAGGCCCCTCATCTCTGATAAAGGGCAGGGTGTGACCAAGGAGCACAGAGTTCAGTAGTCAGCACATTATTCTGGACTGAGATGGTTTAGGGTCAGCGAAAGGCTACTGCCATATCTGCCTCTATGAAACCAGCTGGGCATATCGCCACTAACTCCATGACCACTGAGTGGTAATCTCTGCATTTGGAATGTTTCTAACAAGGGGATTAACTGGAGATAAACTGTAATGGTCACCTATTCCTTGTATGCTTCCAGGAAATCCTATATTTTTACCTTTTGCTGGTATAAATGTGGAAATTTGAGCTGCCGTATCTCAGTGTCAATGGAAATTTTGGATATTGACTATCTCTGTCTCAAATTTATGTGGTCCCACCTTCTCTAGCTTTCAGTGTTATCAAGAGAGGTACTCATCTTATAGTTGACCAATAAGTTCCAAAATACATTAAGTACCAAAATATGACACAATGAGTACCAAAATAGCTCTCATTGAGCTATTACACACACTTGCTTTCATTTTTTTCTCCAGGAAGTTTTGAAGTACAATATATAGATTGAACCCTTGCCCATCTTCTCTGCTTTTAAAGGTTCTCAGACCTACCAGACATGGGCATACTAAATGGAGAGAACAGAATAACAATAATTTCAAAACCCAGCAAAATGGCTGGGCACAGCGGCTCACGTCTGTAATCCCAGCACTTTGGGAGTCCAAGGCAGGAGGATGGCTAGAGCTCATGAGTTCAAGATCAACCTGGGCAACGTGGCAAAGAGGCTGAGATGGGAAGATCACTTCAGCCTGGGAGGCAGAGGTTACAGTGAGCTGAAATCATGCCACTGAACTCCAGCCTGGATGACAGAGCCATACCTTGTCTCAATAAATAAATAAATATATAAATAAATACAATCCAACAAACCAACAACTGGTGAACTCAAAGGTCATTTCAGCAAATTAGTAGCAAAAAAATCTATTTTCTATAAAATATACAGAAAGTACATTCTTTTGAATAAGAAGTTCCCCCAAATATTCAAACACTTCTGTTAGGAGGCCTATGTTCTAACCTCTACACTGTCTTGAACTCTTATTCATTTATTTCATTCTCCATTTTCTCAGTTGCTGGAATGTTATCTTTTCAATGTCGTCTTTTCTATGAAATCTTTTTAGTTTAGGGGGTTGATTTTTGAAAGCAAATTCAACCCCTTTTTTCTCCTTATCATATCTTCTTAATCCCTCCAACACAACTCTCATAGTGCTTTCTTTCATGTTTGTGTATACTCCTGTTTCTCTCCACCAGAGCATAAGTTCCTTAAAGACAACTGCCATCCTTTTATCCCTGGTGCCTTGCATGACATGTGGCACATAGTACGTTTCCCATAAAGATTTGTCGAGTGAACAGATGAAGGCTAGGAGGTAGTCCTCTGGTGAAATATGCCTTAAGTGCTTTTTAATCAACATGCTATTAAGAACTACAGTTCACCTTTCCATTAAACCCTCTCAGTGAGGAAATATGCCCCAAAAGCCATTTTATTTTGTATAGTAGAAGAAAACAAACAGGGCCCGGCGTGGTTGCTCACGCCTGTAATCCCAGCACTTTGGGAGGCCGAGGCGGGTGGATCACGAGGTCAAGAGATCAAGACCATCCTGGCTAACATGGCAAAACCCTGTCTCTACTGAGAACACAAAAATTAGCTGGGCAAGGTGGCACGTGCCTGTAATCCTAGCTACTCGGAAGGCTGAGGCAGGAGAATCGCGGAGTCGGAGGTTGCAGTGAGCCGAGATCACACCACTGCCCTCCAGCCTGGTGATAGAGCGAGAACCTGTCTCAAAAAAAAAAAAAAAAAAAAAAGGAAGAAGATAACAAATGCATACTAGTACTTGGAAATTCCCAACTTAATTTCAGCCATTGAAGAAGCCTGATGAATGGCAAAACCTCTTTGCCTCAGAAAAACCTTTCGGTCGGCCCTTCGGTAAATGTTTATGCAGAAAATCCTGACACGAGCCAATAAATCCAACATTATAGTCAGTTTTTTCAAACTGCAGAAAAGAAATTTCAGCTTTCCACCCTATAAGTTATCCTGTGTCTCATGCTTTAGTTAGCCCTTCTAACTTTTCTACGGCAGAAAAATAGCTCACCGCTACTTTATAACTTACTTGGTGCCCTTGTTATATCCCCAGCACTAATTGTGAAGAACTTAAGTTCATGTCTCTGTTAGTGTTGCACTTGCCAAGAGTATCCACTTGAACAACTTTTTGGATGTGTGACATAGGTATGTTAATCATTTTAAAGACCATATGGACCTCGTGAAGGAAACTTGCAGTATTCTCTTAAGGTTTAGTAAGACATGTTCTCTGTGATAACTGCAGTCTGGGTTTTCCAGATCTGTCTTTTTTTCTTTCTTTTTTTTTTTTTTCCTGAGACAGGGTCTCACTCTGCTGCCCAGCCTGGGGTGCAGTGGTGTGAACATGGCTCACTATAGCCTCGAACTCCTGAGCTTGAGGCATCCTGCCACCTCAGCCTCCTGAGTAGCGGGGCCACAGACACACACCACCATGCCCAGCTAATTCTTTTACTTTTTGTAGAGAAAAGATCTCCAGTTTTTACTTTTTGAGAGAAAAGGGCTCCAGCTGCTCACGCCTGTAATCCCAGCACTTTGGGAGGCCGAGGCAGGTGGATCACTTGAGGTCAGGAGTTTGAGACCAGCCTGGCCAACATGGTAAAACCCCGTCTCTACTAAAAATACAAAAATTAGGGAGGCGTTGTGGTACACACCTGTAATCCCAGCTACTCAGGAGACTGAAGTGGGAGAATCACTTGAATTCAGGAGGCAGAGGTTGCAGTGAGCCGAGACCACACCACTGCACTCTAGCCTGGGTGAAAAGAGTGAGACTCTATCTCGGGGGAAAAAAAGAGAGAGAGAAAAGGTCTTCCCATGTTGCTCAGGCTGGTCTCCAACTCCTGGGGTCAAGTAGTCCTCCCACCTTAGCCTCCCAAAGTATTGAGATTACAGGTATGAGACACAATGCCCCATCCAGATCTGCCCTTTAAAATGCAATATTGGCTGGGCATGGTGGCTCACGCCTGTAATCCCAGCACTTTGGGAGGCCAAGGCGGGTGGACCACCTGAGGTCAGCAGTTTGAGACTAGCCTGACTATTGTGGTGAAACCTCATCTTAAAAAAAAAAAAAAAAAGATGCAATATTAATTAAATATGTTTACCTACACATATAACAATAGACATTGTCAAATTTCATTGGAGGTAATGCCCTTTTTATTTCATTTTTAGTATTAGTGTAATTGCGCTTATGTTTTCTTCATCTTTTCTTTTACCTTATTGGATCTCAGCAATGGAAGAAGAAAATATTTCAGAAAGATAAGAATAGAAAAAAAAAACAATAGAAGCTTGGTCAGAGAGTGGGCAGAGTATAAGTGTTATGGAAAGATTTGTCTTGGTGTTGGAGGAAACAGAATAACTCAACAGCCTTTTAAAGGGAGACTCTATAAATAGTGAATAAATCTTCATAACATACAGAATAAATCCTAGTAAGCGTCAGGCACTATATCAGAAGTAGGGAAAAAATGAATAGAATACAATTCCTGCCTACTTGGACCTCATAAGCTAGTGAGGTAGACAGACACTGTTTAAAATGCCAGAAGAAAATTATGGCGCTGACGGTGTTGATAAGGACATAGACGGGGTCGTCAGTTCTTTAAGGAAAAGTCAGAAGTTTCCCAAAAGACTCATGTGAAGTAAGTCACAAAGTAGGTGCAAGATTTTGCCATGGAGAGGAGTATAAGAGGAAGAGCATTTCAAGCAAAGAAAGCAATGTGACCAGAGCTATGAAAGTGCATGGGCTTTGGGGAGCCGTCTTTCTTGCCAGCTAGTTGAGACATTGGTCCGTGGCCTAGTGTGCTATGCCCTGATGAGACAGTGTCCAGCAGACGCTACACTTCCTCCTCCAAGTTCCCATACCATCTAATGACCTTTTGTTCGTAATTGAATTTTCAGATAAAAAGAGGTGCAAAAGGAAGAATGTCATTCTTCTTGATACTAAATCTAAGATTATGAAGGTCCTCTTACTTGTTTTCAACCTGCAGAGCAAATAATAGAGTTGGATTCATTTTTAACAGGTGACTCTAAAGTAAGAACTGGTGAATGCTTTTGGACTTCACTTATATTTTGTATGCATTATCTACTGCAGAGAGAGTATAACCTTCATTTCGATTCTGAGAACTTTGAGACTTATGTTCTATTATTAGTGATATCTTTATTTTCTTGTTTGCTGAGTGATTCTTTGAGAGTCACTCAGGATCATTCAGTGAATTGTGGAAACATGTAAGAGAAGGTGACCTTGAGGAAATGACAGCTGAGCCCTTGATCTATGGCCTGAAGAAGGAGTGATCATTAGCTCAGCAGTGTGAGGGAAGAGAGAGGGAAGAACGCAGCCATGTGATGAGCACTCCCTCTGATGGCTCGGCACATGCTGTATTTAAGGACTGAAATGTAAGCTCTATGAAGGCAGGAAACTGGTCTGTCTTGTTCTCAGTACTGTCTCATGTACCTAGAACATTAACACACAGTGACTTCTTGATAAAAAGATATTTGTTGAGGAGGAATTTAAAAGGTTTTGACTGAGTACGGTGGCTTACACCTGTAATCACACCTTGGGAGGCCAAGGCAGGAAAGGATTGCTTGAGGCCACAAGTTTGAGGCCAGCCTGGGCAACAAAGCCAGACACCTTATCTTATAAACAAACAAACAACAAACAAACTGGGCACAGCAGCATGTGCCTGTAGTCCCAGCTACTCAGGAAGCTGAGGTGGGAGGTTGAACCCAAGGCTGCAGTGAGCTATGATGGTACTACTGCGCCCCAGTTTGGCTGTTAGAGCAAGACCCAGTCCCAGAGAAAATACATGAATAAATAAAAGGTGCATTTGTAACGGGGACACAGAGAGCAAGGGGCCACGTGGAATAACATGATTCTGAAAGGCAGGGTCATGCAAGGCCCTGCAGTTCACATTAAAGGTAGTAGGCTTTGTCCTCCACCATGGGTCACCATTAAAGGATTCTAAGCAAGGAGATGGAAACTGGATTTGTTCTACAGTGTGGAGCACGACTTTCCACCTTTTTGATTGTAACCAATAGTAAGAAACACATTTTATATTGTAACCTAGTAAAGCATACATATATACACACACACCTGAAATGCTTTTTTATTAACAGTGGGTAGTCATACGAAGCATGATGTGCTCCATTTCTTTTCTGTCCTATTTGGTATTTGTAAAAAGCAGTGGTCAAAATCAGTATGACTCATGAGTCATAAGTATGGTGTGAAAAACACTCCTACAGAGGAATGGATACCCTAATGGTGAAGGTTATGTGCATTAAGTAATTAAAAATAGCAACTTGAGGTGATCTAAGAAAGGTCAAAACATGGTGGCTTAAAAACAATGTGCAAAATGGAAATCTAGGGAGATGCTAGGAATTTGAGAAAGGGAACTCATGAGAGAAGATTGAATGTAGAAAGGATGTTAGACATTCTAGAATCCAGCTGAAAAGTATCAAAGTTAAGTAAACTTGCTCAGGGGACATGGGAGTCTTATTAGAAGAGGGCTCTGCCCAGATTTCTCAGACATCTGTGATCTTTCCCTGGTTGCTTTCAGCCTCTGCCGTTGGTGCTTTTTACAGCAAGCTATGGGTCACAGAGGCTTGGTGGTGTTATGATCACCTTATAAATCTAGAAACTGAAGTTGGGAGGTGACTTACTGCAAAGTTAGATGCCTAGGAAGAGGACAGACCAGGGCTGGCTTCCAGGCTTCCTTATCACTGGTCTGGCGATCTTCCCATTGTTTTGCACTGTTTCAAACATATGCATGAAAAATTAATTAGGATTACAAAATGACAACACAGCATTTCAGCACGTAAACATTTCTGTGCTGGAACTCTGAGGGTTCTGCTCCTAATACCATTTAACTGATTCAGTATTAAAATTAAAACTGAGGTGCATGAATTTCTTCAGGAATCTAGTAACATAATATTTCATGTGTCATAAAAAGAAAGATTATATCTGAACATCTACATCTCAGTCACATAATATCTTTACTGATATCTTGGCTGAAAGAGTGGGAGAGTAAGAATTAGAAATGTGGGGGGCTGGCAAGATGGCTGAATAGGAACAGCTCCGGTCTGTAGCTCCTAGCGAGATCAGTTCATCTCATTGGGACTGGTTAGACAGCGGGTGCAGCCCATGGAGGGCAGGCAGAAGCAGGGTGGGGCATTGCCTCACCCGGGAAGCACAGGGTTTGGGAAAATCCTTCCCCTAGCCAAGGGAAGCCCTGATGGACTGTGCAGTGAGGAACAGTGCACTCTGGCCCAGATACTATGCATTTCCCACGGTCTTCACAACCTGCAGACCAGGAGATTTACTCCAGCGCCTATGCCGCCAGAGCCCTGGGTTTCAAGCACAAAACTGGGCGGCCATTTGGGCAGATAACAAGCTAGCTGCAGGAGATTTTTTCATACCCCAGTGGTGCCTGGAATGCCAGTATGACAGAACCGTTCACTCTCCTGGAAGGGGGGTTAAAAACAGGGAGCCAAGTGGTCTAGCCAGCAGATCCCAACCCCCATGGAGCCCAGCGAACGAAGATCCACTGGCTTGAAATTCTTGCTGCCAGCACAGAAGTATGAGGTCAACCTGGGACACTTGAGCTTGGTGGGAGGAGGAGTGTCCACAATTACTGAGGCTTGAGTAGGTGGTTTTTCCCCTCACAATGTAAACAAAGTTACTGGGAAGTTCAAACTGGGCAGATCCCTGCATCTCAACAAAGCCACTGTAGCCAGACTTCCTCCCTAGATTCCTCCTCTACAGGGCATCTCTGAAAGAAAGTCAGCAGCCCCGGTCAGGGACTTGTAGGTAAAACTCCCATCTCCCCGGAACAGAGCACCTAGGGGAAGGGTCGGCTATAGGCACAGCTTCAGCAGACCTAAACGTTCTTGCCTGCTGGCTCTGAGGAGAGCAGCAGATCTCCCAGCACAGTGCTTGAGCTCTGCTAAGGGATAGACTGCTTTCTCAAGCATGTCCCTGACACCTATGCCTCTTGATGGGAAGATACCTCCCAGAAGAGGTTGACAGACACCTCATACAGGAGAGCTGTGGCTGGCATCTGGCAGGTGCTCCTCTGAGATGAAGCTTCCAGAAGAAGAAACAGGTAGCAATCTTTGCTTTTCTGCAGCCTCTGCTAGTGATATTCAGGCAAACAGGGTTGGGAATGGACCTCCAGCAAACTCCAGCAGACCTGCAGCAGAGGGGCCTGATTGTTAGAAGGAAAACTAACAAACAGAAAGGAATAGCATCAACATCAACAAAAAGGATGTGCACACAAAAACCCCATTTGAAGGTCACCAACTTCGAAGAACAAAGGTAGATAAATCCACAAAGTTGAGGAAAAACCCAGAACAAAAAGGCTGAAAATCCCAAAAACCAGAATGCCTCTTCTCCAAAGGATCACAACTCCTTGCCAGCAAGGGAACAAAACTGGACAGAGTTTCACAAATTGACAGAAGCAGGCATCAGAAGGTGGGTAATAACAAACTCCTCCAAGCTAAAGGAACATGTTCTAACCCAATGCAAGGAAGCTAAGAATCTTGAAAAAAGTTAGAGGAATTGCTAACTAGACTAACCAGTTTAGAGAAGAACATAAATTATCTGATGGAGCTGAAAAACACAGAATGAGAACTTTGTGACGCATACACAAGTATCAATAGCAGAATCAATCAAGTGGAAGAAAGGATATCAGAGATTAAAGATCAACTTAATGAAATAAAGCATGAAGACAAGATTAGAGAGAAAAGAATGAACAGGAACAAACAAAACCTCCAAGAAATACAGGATTATGTGTAAAGACCAAACCTACATTTGATTGGAGTACCTGAAAGTGACAGGGAGAATGGAACCAAGCTGGAAAACACAAAAACACTCTTCAGGATATTATCCAGAACGTCCCCAACCTAGCAAGACAGGCCAATATAAAAATTCAGGAAATACAGAGACCACCACCAAGATACTCCTTGAGAAGAGCATCCCCAAGACACATAATCACCAGATTCACCAAGATTGTAATGAAGGAAAAAAGTGTCAAGGGCAGCCAGAGAAAAAAAGTCAGGTTACCCACAAAGGGAAGCCCATCAGACTAACAGCAGATCTCTCTGCAGAAACTCTACAAACCAGAAGAGAGTGGGGACCGATATTCAACATTCTTAAAGAAAATAATTTTCAACTCAGAATTTAATATCCAGACTAACTAAGCTTTGTAAATGAGGGAGAAATAAAATCCTTTACAGACAAGCAAATTCTAAGAGATTTTGTTACCACCAGGCCTGCCTTGCAACAACAGCTCCTGAAGGAAACACTAAATATGGAAAGGAAAAACAGGTACCAGCCACTGAAAAAACATACCAAATTGTAAAGACCATTGACACTATGAAGAATCTGCATCAACTAATGAGCAAAATAACCAGCTAGCATCATAATGACAGGATCAAATTCACACATAACAATATTAACCTTAAATGTAAATGGGCTTAAACTTCTAACTGAAAAACACAAATTGGATAAAGAGTGAAGACCCATCATCGTGCTGTATTGAGGGGACCCATCTCATGTGCAAAGGCACACATAGGCTCAAAATAAAGGGATGGAGGAATATTTATCAAGCAAATGGAAAGAAAAAAAAAGCAGAGGTTGCAATCCTAGTCTCTGATAAAACAGATTTTAAACCAACAAAGATTTAAAAAGATAAGGGCATTACATAATGCCCACATGAGAAGCAAGGAAAGATCTAAAATCGACACCCTATCATCAAAATTGAAAGAGCTAGAGGAGCAAGATCAAAAAAACTCAAAACCTAGCAGAAGACAAGAAATAACTAAGATCAGAGCAGAACTGAAGGAGACAGAGACATGAAAAGCCCTTTGAAAAATCAATGAATCCAGGAGCTGGTTTTTTGAAAAGATTAACAAAATAAATAGACCACTAGCCAGACTAATAAAGAAAAGAGAGTTACTTGGAATACTAAAAAAAAAGAAAAGAGAGAAAAATCTAATAGACACAATAAAAAGTGATAAAGGGGATATCACCACTGATCCCACAGAAATACAAACTGGTATCAGAGAATACTATAAACACTTCTACACAAATAAACTAGAAATTCTAGAAGAAATGGATAAGTTCCTGGACACATACACCCTCCCAAGACTAAACCAGAAGGAAGAAGTCAAATCCCTTAATAGACCAATAACAAGTTCTGAAGTTGAGGAAATAATTAATAGCCTACCAATCCAACAAAAAGCCCAGGACCAGACAGATTCACAGCCAAATTCTACCAGAGGAGAGGAGCTGGTGCCATTCCTTCTGAAACTATTCCAAACAATAGAAAAAGAGGGACTCCTCCCTAACTCATTTTTATGAGGCCAGCATCATAAAAATGGCCTCCCATTCTGTAGGTTGCCAGTTCATTCTGATGATAGTTTCTTTTGCTGTGCATTAGCTCTTTAGTTTAATTAGATCCCATTTGTCAATTTTGGCTTTTGCTGCTTTTGATGTTTTAGTCATGAAGTCTTTGCCCATGCCTATGTCCTGAATGGTATTGCCTAGGTTTTCTTCTAGGGTTTTTATGGTTTTAAGTCTCACATTTAAGTCTTCAATCCATCTTGAATTAATTTTTGTATAAGGTGTAAGGAAGGGGTCCAGTTTCAGTTTTCTGCATATGGCTAGCCAGTTTTCCCAATACCATTTATTAAATAGGGAATCCTTTCCCCATTGCTTGTTTTTGTCTGGTTTGTCAAAGATCAGATGGTTATAGATGTGTGGCATCATTTCTGAGGCCTCTGTTCTGTTCCATTGGTCTATATATCTGTTTTGGTACCAGTACCATGCTGTTTTGGTTACTGTTACCTTGTAGTATAGTTTGAAATCAGGTAGCATGATGCCTCCAGCTTTGTTCCTTTTGCTTAGGACTGTCTTGGCTATATGAGCTCTTTTTTTGGTTCTATATGAAATTTAAAGTAGCTTCTTTCTAATTCTGTGAAGAAAGTCAAAGTCAAATAGCTTGATGAGGATAGCATTGAATCTATAAATTACTTTGGGCAGTATGGCCATTTTCACAATATTGATTATTCCTATTCATGACTGTGGAATGTTTTTCCATTTGTTTGTGTTCACTCCTATTTCCTTGAGCAGTGGTTTGTAGTTCTCCTTGAAGAGGTCCTTCACATCTTTTGTAAGTTGTATTCCTAGGTATTTTATTCTCTTTGTAGCAATTGTGAATGGGAGTTCACTTATGATTTGGCTGTTTGGCTATTATTGGTGTATAGGAATGTTTGTGATTTTTGCACATTGATTTTGTATCCTGAGACTTTGCTGAAGTTGTTTATCAGCTTAAGGAGATTTTGGGCTGAGACAATAGGGTTTTTTAAATATACAATCATGTCATCTGCAAATAGAGAAAATTTTACTTCCTCTCTTCCTATTCGAATACACTTTATTTCTTTCTCTTACCCGATTGCCCTGGCCAGAACTTCCAATACTATGTTGAATACAAGTGGTGAGAGCATCCTTCTTTTTTGCCAGTTTTCAAAGGGAATGCTTCCAGCTTTTGCCCATTCAGTATGATATTGACTGTGGATTTGTCATAAATAGCTCTTATTCTGAGATATGTTCCATCAGTATCTTTTTTTTTTTTTTAAGAGGGATTCTTCCTCTGCCACCAGGCTGGAGTGCAGTGGCACAATCTCGGCCCACTGCAACCTCTGCTTCCCAGGTTCAAGGGATTCTCCTGACTCAGCCTCCCAAGTACCTGGGATTATAGGTGCATGCCACCATGCCCAGCTCATTTTTATATTTTTAGTAGAGATGGGGTTTCACCATGCTGGCCAGGATGGTCTCAATCTTCTGACCTCGTGATCCACCCACCTCAGCCTCCCAAAGTGCTGGGATTACAGTCGTGAGCTACTGCGCCCAGCCTGTTCCATCAATATTTAGCTTATTGAGAGTTTTTAGCATGAAGGGGTGTTGAATTTTATCAAAGACCTTTTCTGCATCTATTCAGATAACCATGTGGTTCTTGTCATTGGTTCTGTTTATGTGATGGATTACATTTATTGATTTGCATATGTTGAACCAGCCTTGCATCCCAGGGATGAAGCTGACCTGCTCATGATGGATCAGCTTTTTGATGTGCTGCTTCATTCAGTCCACCAGTATTTTATTGAGCCTTTCTGCATCAATGTTCATCAGGGATATTGGCCTCAAATTTTTTGTTGTTGTGTCTCTGCCAGGTTTTGGTATCAAACAAATGGAAAAACATTCCACAGTCATGAATAGGAATAATCAATATTGTGAAAATGGCCATACTGCCCAAAGTAATTTATAGATTCAATGCTATCCTCATCAAGCTATTTGACTTTGACTTTCTTCACAGAATTAGAAAGAAGCTACTTTAAATTTCATATAGAACCAAAAAAAGAGCTCATATAGCCAAGACAGTCCTAAGCAAAAGGAACAAAGCTGGAGGCATCATGCTACCTGATTTCAAACTATACTACAAGGTAACAGTAACCAAAACAGCATGGTACTGGTACCAAAACAGATATATAGACCAATGGAACAGAACAGAGGCCTCAGAAATGATGCCACACATCTATAACCATCTGATCTTTGACAAACCAGACAAAAACAAGCAATGGGGAAAGGATTCCCTATTTAATAAATGGTATTGGGAAAACTGGCTAGCCATATGCAGAAAACTGAAACTGGACCCCTTCCTTACACCTTATACAAAAATTAATTCAAGATGGATTGAAGACTTAAATGTGAGACTTAAAACCATAAAAACCCTAGAAGAAAACCTAGGCAATACCATTCAGGACATAGGCATGGGCAAAGACTTCATGACTAAAACATCAAAAGCAGCAAAAGCCAAAATTGACAAATGGGATCTAATTAAACTAAAGAGCTAATGCACAGCAAAAGAAACTATCATCAGAATGAACTGGCAACCTACAGAATGGGAGAAAATTTTTGCAATTTATCCATCTGACAAAGGGCTAATATCCAGAATCTATAAAGAACTTAAACAAATTTACAAGAAAAAAACCAAACAACCCCTTCAAAAAGTGAGTGAAGGATATGAACAGACACTTCTCAAAAGAAGGCATTTGTGCAGCCAGCAAACATCAAAAAAAGCTCATCATCACTGGTCATTAGAGAAATGTGAGTCAAAACCCCACTGAGATACCATCTCATGCGAATTAGAATGGTGATCATTAAAAAGTCAGGAAACAACAGATGCTGGAGAGGATGTGGAGAAATAGGAACACTTTTACAGTGTTGGTGGGGGTATAAATTAGTTCAACCATTGGGAAGAAGTGTGGCGATTCCTCAAGGGTCTAGAACCAGAAATATCATTTGACCCAGCAATCCCATTATTGGGTATATACCTAAAGGATTATAAATCATTCTACTATAAAAACACATGCACACGTATGTTTATTGCAGCATTAATCACAATAGCAAAGACTTGGAACCAACCCAAATGCCCATCAATGATAGGCTAGATAAAGAAAATGTGGCACATATATACCATGGAATAATATGCAGCCATAAAAATGATGAGTTCATGTCCTTTGCAGGGACACGGATAAAGCTGGAAACCATCATTCTCAGCAAACTAACACAGAAACAGAAAACCAAACATTGCATGTTCTCAATCATAAGTGGGAGTTGAACAATGAGAACACATGGACGCAGGAAGGAAATTTCACACACCGAGGCCTGTCAGGGGTTGGGGGACTAGGATAGGGTTAAGCATTAGGAAAAATACGTAATGTGGATGACAGGTTGATGGGTGCAGCAAACCACCATGG